ACATTTTGCCACCAAAGCCAATTTGGAGTGCTTTTTGGTGCAGTGTGGACGTACCCCTTGTTTATTGCACCCGCGAACCCCGCCTCGAATCCAGGTGCTGGGAACTTTGCGGTGGTATAACTCGATACGCCAACATATCTTATCCATCTGTTGATTTGGTGAAATAAAGATCTTGGAGCCACCAAAGCTATTTTATAAGTTATTGCATGCGCGATTAGCCTACCCTAACCCGATCCCCCCCCCCCCCCCCATGGTTTTAGTATGTTTACGGTGATATTTCTCTAAAAGCCAGCTTAGGAAGCTTCTGAAAATTTGTATTCTAGTAGTTTATTCATCCCTTGATTCCATGAAACAAAAAAACATTTTGCCACCAAAGCTGGTTTGGGTGCGTTTTGATGCAGCGTGGGCGTACCCCTTTTCAGCGTGCTCAGTTAGCCTAGTGTGCGATATTTTAGTATGTTTACGGTAATAGTATATTTTTTTTCATGGGGGGGGGTCTATTACATATATACTTTCCATTAATATGTCGTTTTCTAATATAAAGGTAACAATTATTTTCGTGATATTTATATGTAGGTTTTTATTGGCGCTAGGAATATGTGTGCTAACTTCATTTCGTATCCAGGTGACCTTATGGCTTTATCGCGTAAATCATTAATTTCCGTTATAGTCCGAACTTTTTTCCGTATGCAAATGACGTTCGTCGTAGATCCCATATAAGGTATATGTTCTACTATGCAAGGTTCTATTATGCATTTGTCTATTATGCAAAATGCAGAATGCAGAAGTGTAATGTGCAAAATAACTATTCTACTGTATTTTGTATTATTGAAAAGTGTATTCTGTATTTTAACACCGTGACATTGGTATTGTTGAGCAATGGAAATTGTAAATTGTAAAACTAAAATACGTATTGTGAACGACTGACATTTGCAGTTTGCACCGTGAACAATGAAATAATATTGGCAACGTTATACTTCCATAATGATCAGCTCTCAGCCATCTGATATTATTACATCCTTGAATTTTAAAGCGATATCAACTTCTACAATAGGTCTGCATTAGGCAGAAAAATTTCGAAAAAGAAAAATCTTAAAGGGGCATTATGAGAGATTAGATAAAGAACTGGCAGTTCTCACTATAATAGTTAAAAATAGATAATGTGAATAGGATATGCTGGAAATTCCAGTCAAATTGCTCGACTCAGAACCCCGATATTAGCATTACTAAAGTCGGTACAATAAAAAAAACAGTCTCGATGATCCATTTTTGTTTAAAGCGCATTCTGAAAAGGTATATCTTTTAAGGATGAATGGAAATTTTCAGATATACAGATATTCATTAAAAAATATGTATATTCAGGGGTTTCATTAAATATTACTGTAGATGGGTAAAGTATCAGAGTAGGCGGCTCGAAAACAGCGGCACATGGGTCGATTTAACCATTAAATCAACAATCCCTTTATCAATCTCTTTTTTATACGCCCACATTGAAATGTGGACGTATATTGCCGTCGCCCCCGTCCGTTCGTCTGTCGGTCGGTCCGTTCGTCGGTCCGGCTGCCGTCGGTCTGTCCATCGTCCACAATTTCTTGTGAACGCCAAAAGTTATCATCCAATTGTTTTAAAATGGATATATGTTGTTTACATTAGTGAGATGAAGACTCCTATTTAATTTCAATAATTTCCGTTTATTTCGTCTAGAGTTATGGTCCTTGTTTCACTTTGTTGAACCTTGTGAACGCTCTAATGCCAAAAGTTAACATACGGTCTTTGTGAAATTTATATGCAATATTTAAGTTAGTGAAACGAAGAAGCCTATTGAATTTCAACAATTTCTGTTTATTACGTCTAGAGTTATGGCCCTTGTTTCACTTTATTGAACCTTGTGAACACTCTAACTCCAAAAGTTATTATCCGATCTTTCTGAAATTTACATGCATTATTTAAATTTGTGAAACTAAGAAGCTTATTGAATTTCAGCAATTTTGGTTTATTACGTCTAGAGTTATGGCCCTTGTTTCACTTTATTGAACCTTGTGAACGCTCTAACGCCAAAAGTTATCATCCGATCTTTCTGAAATTTATATGCATTATTAAGATTACTGAAACGAAGAAGCGTATTGAATTTCGGCAATTTCTGTTTATTACGTCTAGAGTTATGGCCCTTGTTTCACTTTATTGATCCTTGTGAAGGCTCTCACGTATAAAGTTATCATCCGATCTTTCTGAAATTTACAAGCATTATTTAAATTGGTGAAACGAAGAAGCCTATTGAATTTCAGCAATTTCCGTTTATTACGTCTAGAGTTATAGCCCTTGTTTTTTGTTATTGAACCTTGTGAACGCTCCAACGCCAAAAGTTATCATTCGATCTTTGTGAAATTTATATGCATTATTTAGATTAGTGAAACGGAGAAGCCTATTTAATTTCAGCAATTTCCATTTATTACGTCTAGAGTTGTGGCCCTTGTTTCACTTTATTGATCCTTGTGAACGCTCTAACGCAAAAAGTTATCACCCGATCTTTGTGGAATTTATATGCATGATTTAAATTAGTGAAACGAAAAAGCCTTGAATTTCAGCAATTTACAATAATTACTTCTATAGTTATTGCCCTTGTTTCACTTTGTTAAACCTTGTTAATGCACGATTGATGATAGTTATCATCCGATATGTATGAAATTTATATGCATCATTTAAATTTGTGAAACAAGTCTATTGAATTTCAGCAATTTCCGTCAATAATTTCTAGAGTTATGGCGATTGTGAACGTTTGAATGACAAAAGTGATCATGTGATCTGTATGAAATTTATATGCATTATTTTAATATTTAAATTAGTAAAACGAAAAAGCCTGTCAAATTTCAACAATTTCTGTAGATTACTTCCAGAGTTGAGACCCTTGTTTCAATTTGTAGAACCTTGTAAACCCTCAAACGACAAAATTTATAATCTGATCTGTATGGAACTGTCTTGTAAAGGCCCCCAATTACCTACAAAGGAATAAATATGCGACAACCCTTGACGACTGCTCGGACGATTTAGCTGCTGTGGGCGTATGTTTTGTTGCCTGGCATCCTATCTTTAATGTATATATAGATTTCTGGTACATCAATACATCGTGGGCTATTAAACTTCGTTTTTCAGTCATTATTATTATTATTGGGTGTAGGGTCGGTAGTTACTACATATTTTATTCCATGTCAGTTTACCGTTATATAATCTCGTCATGGATTGTATTGTGAATTACGATAATCGCACGTCTTTGACGCTCCAACGTTCCATGACAGGTCCATATGAATTCCAGATAGATATTAAAATTTTAATTGGATCATACATTTTTGATGGTTTCACAAACCAGTTGTTAGTTAAATTTAAATCTTCATTGAATATAATCCACTGATAAAACACCGAATACTCCGAGAAACAGTCATTAATAATATATTTTTTCGAAAGAATCGCCATTACTGATGATACGCGACATCGTTGGAATTAGGTCAATGAATCAGCGATGTTATAAGCTTAAGTTTTAAATATTGTTTAACGTTATGATTTTTTACTTGATAATACACATGCTGACAGAAGCTTTATTTTATAAATGTTGTCGTTATTATTGCAGACTATTCCAGATAGTCAAACAAAATTTTATTTTATAGCAATTTCAATTATGGTTGTCACGTGATCAGTGTGTCGTTTGTCTATCATCATCAAATGAATAAAAACTAAAAGGTGACAGACAAAAACTAAACGATTACGCAGAGACATATATTAAGTTTTACCGACGTAAACCTGTCTTTCCTCCGCTGGTGCACTACTCACTGTAACTACGAAAGGTATGGCGATCTTTCTTTTGCGTTTGATAGTACATGTATGTATCACCACCCCCGTTAAAGTATGAAAGATTTGTCTGCTTTGGCTCCATTTTGTGAAGATCATGCAGACATAGAGCAGCGATTTTCAAGACGGTAGAAACCGCCATACCCAAGTTACTATAAATAGCACCAGTTTTCGACACACATGGTCAGCACGTGATTTTTGACACGAGGTATGAATGGAAAGATAAAGTAGCAGTTAATTTTGTTGAGGTTTATGATTTTTCCGTTATCATTGTTCACCGGTCCCATTGACCAACGGGAAGTTAAAATACCGGTTATTGGAAACTCTGAAATGCGTGAAAACTAGCCAGTATAAATAACAGTTTTCAAAAGAAAGTATGTAAAATAGTAAGGTATAAAGAGATAAGCCTCGTAGTACCTTTTATATTGAGTATAAATGTAATTGATGGCTAAGAAATTTCAAGTAGAGTGGGTGAAAAAAGGGAAGGCACGATATTAAACTACACCGGTAACTCTTTTTGAAAGGAGATACAGAATACCGCCTGTTAATTATCACATGCTTTTAAACTCGATAACCGTGACGCTGTTTATTGTTGGGCGTACAGTTTGTAAACTCGCCGGCTACCCTTTCTATATTACGTTCTATATTACGTAGCAAAACTCTGTATACCAGTACATTTATACTTAAAGAAGTACTCCATTTTACAAACTTTTCATGACATAATAAATTCTCAGATGGAATCATAATATAGCCGGCGCAATTAACCAAGTAGCCGGGGAAATTTGCCGGCGGCCGGCTGTTAATGAAACCCCTGTATATTGTATGTACTTTTGTAAAAAGAAAATACTGAAAAAATCTAATAGATATCTGCTTCTCAGTGAGGTAGAATGTTTAAACTTGGTGTAGATGTTAGTTATGTGAATATCTTGATGAACATTTTCTGCCTAGGAGATAACCAATTTGATTGACCAAGACTTCAGAACACAGTGAGAGGGATTAAACTGGGTCGATAATGAGCATTTTCATTAAGTGTTTAATGAGTGTCATCTATTTATTTTGGGTGAGGGAAGGGGACATTATATAGTCTTCACTGTTGACTTGTCTATGGGATACATAATTACCTCCTTTGTATTCACATGACTACATTTCTATTACTGTAGGGTTTGTCAGTAACTGAAGTAATCGCTGGCTATGAATTGGCATGTAAAAAGGCATTGGAAATTTTACCAGGTGAGTAAGTTTTATGGTCTCTGACTTTATATTATGTTAGAAGACAATTGTCACAAAATTGATGTAATAGCAATAGCAAGCGATATCTGTAAATATTGTTATCGGCGGATACACAGCCATTTTGCCGATACTGGAGATGCCGATATCTGTTCAAAACGACTCGGTAATTACCTTTAAAATATTATTTGAGTTGTGAACAAATCATTATTTTGCTTGACATGAGGTGCAACTAAATAGCAACGTGCAGATGCGCATTGCTATTTAGACGTATCGGTAATACATGACTATCATAGGGGCTGTAAAAAGGAAAGAATAAACAGTAAAAAATCCTTACCGGTCTCCGTTATATAAATAGCCACGCGTCCGACAACCATCCGTCCACAATCGTTTGTGGACTCTCTACAGGTCAAATTTTTATCCAATTTCAACGAAACTTGAAATATAGATTTATGTCCCTAAGATCTCGGTTTCCATTGATTTTGGCATGTATCGGACCGTAACTTCATGGATTATGGTCCCTGATTGTATGAAAAATCACGTTTTTAGCTTGTGGACCCTATAGGGGTCGCAATTTTTATACGCCCACATATCTCGGTTCCTTTCGATATTGGCATGTATCGGATCATTACTTCATGGATTATGGTCCCAGATTGTATGAAAAGTCACGTTTTTAGCTTGTGGACACTCGAGAGATAACAATTTTTATCCAATTTTGATGAAACTTGAAATGCATGTTTATAACCCGAATATCTTGTTTCATTTCGATATTCGCGCACATCGGATCGTAACTTCCTGAATTATCCGATTTAAAAAAACGTTTTAGTATATCACTGTTACACCCTAATGATGGTTGAATTCAATTTTGATGGAACTTGAAAAACATTTTGTGAAAATCGGACCGAAACTGCCGGACAAAATGGCCACCCTTCGTACACAAAATATGGTATATCAAGGTTGTGGACCCTCTAGAGCTCACAATTTTGATCTGATTTTGATGGAACTTGAAATGCATGTTTATAACCCAAAGATCTTGGTTCTTTTTGATATTTGCGCGTCTTGGATTGTAACTTCCTGAGTTATGGCCCTTGACTGTTCGAAAAATCGCATTTTTAGTTTGTGGTCTCTCTAGAGGTCACAATTATTATCCGATTTAAAAAAACACGTGAATATATCACCGTTACAGTGTAATGATGGTTGAGTTTGAATTTTTTGAAAATTGGACCAAATCTGACGGACAAAATGGCCGCCCCTCGAATAATGCAAATGATGGAAATATGTGGTATATCAAGGTTGTGGACGCTCTAGAGGCTAAAGTTGATATCCAATTGACTTTAAATTTATGTACAGTGTTTAAAGCCATGAGATGAAGAATCCTGTTGATTTTTAACTATCCACGGCCATGTATGGTCGCCGATTAGTGCTGGGTATCGATAATCGGTATCGAAACAATCTTATTATTTTCACGATCGTAATGAAGAATGGATTACGTGTTTTAAATTCAAACCATACGATGTTTTTGTTCGTCTAATTAATAATAAACTGTCTCATATTACGTATAAATTGTTTAAATAATGTAGCCTTGGTTCCGAATGACGAAATACCATTGATAGGCCTATGTATGTGCAGAAACCAAAATAAAATGAGCACGAGTCGATTCAAAACATTGCGTACGTGAGCGCGACAAATACCAACATGGTGGACAAATCGTTGTCGATTCGTGTGCAAAAACTAAAGAAAATGTAATAGCCTAAAGAGCTTGTTATCACGAATTCGTAAATTGTTTATTATTATTAAAAAAATACAGCCTTGATTCCGAAAGAAGAAATACAAACGTTTTTGTCATCCATCATTGCTATGTCATTTATAAATAATGAGCAGACGAATTCTGAAAGGGGAAAAACTCTGAATTATTTACACATCCGGGTATCTCCAATTTAGCGAATTCCATGATATGGCGATTATTGTTTCAAACTAAAGTATTGTTTAAATGTGGGTGAATTTATTTTAACATTTTTTTTAAAAAGCTAAATTGAGATTGAGACTTTCAAGTAAATATAAAGTGACCGATGTAGGCTATATATATATATATATGAAGGATTAAGTCACAGAAAACATCGAGTCGACTCCTACGCACGCACGAAAAATAGACGAAGAGAACGATACCGGTACTCGATAGTGCTTTTTGGCATATCTTATCGATACTATCGATATTTTACCCAGCTCTACCGATATATAGCAATAATTTCAACTCTATATATGGCTACATGCCGTTTTTTTAAATATTTTTTAGAATAGAAAAATTGTACTAAAAACGGTACGATAAGAATTTTCTCATTATAACTGTAAGGATGCATTATTTTTGTAAAAGTAATAAAAATATTGAACGTGATGTGATAGGCAGGCCTGTAACATTTTGACTGAGAAACAAGATCTACAATAAACAGATTTACATATGATCGACATATTAAAACCTTCTAAATAAGCTGATAATATCATAATTCATGACATAAAAATTGGCCTTGGATTTTCAATTTTTGGCCTTGGATCAAGGTTGCACTTTGGCCTTCGATCGAAAAAAACGAATTTCGAGCCCTGCTGCCAGAGTTATGGCCCTTGATCACTTATAAAAATCTTGTGGACGCTCGAGAGCCTAAAGGTAATATCCGATTGACTTTAAATTTATACAGAGTGTTTAAGGTCATGAGACGAAGAAGTTTATTGATTTTCACCGATTTCCGATAATTACTGCCAGTGTTATGGCCCTTGATCACTTAAAAATCTTGTGGACAGTTAATATCCGATTGACTATAAATTTGTACACGGTGTTTAAGGTCGTGAGATGAAAAAGCCCAGTGATTTTCAATGATTTCCAATAATTACTGCCAGAGTTATGGCCCTTGATCATTTTGAAAAATCTTGTGGATGCTCCCGAGACCAAAGTTATCATCCGATTGACTCTAGATTGATAAACAGAGTTTAAGGTCTTGAGACGAACAAGTTTATTGATTCTCAATGAATTTTTATGACTTGAGCTAAATCCATGATATTAAATGTTTTGTGTACTAAACGTTAGCATGGGGCAGAACTAAATGCCAAACAAATTCTAATGATTTTCTGATAATTACTTTGAGTTGTTAATCTTAATCAGCAGATTTTAGTGTATTATAAATGTTTCATTACTGACAATAGAAAAAATATCCGACAACTCTTGTTGATTGCTCAGACAACTTAGCTGCTGTGGGCGTATGTTTCATTTCCTGGCAACCTATCTTTAGTTAATATTTTGTCTGCTTCATATGTAAATAATCTTAATTAAAATCAACCTGTCCAACAACACCACAGCGCGTGATTAAACAGATCAGCTAAACACACTTCGGGAAATTTAACAGTTCATCTAATAGATAAACACTGCAGCCGCATAGATAAATAAACGCGACCTTGATTGAAACACACCACTCAGGATAATTATACCATTCATCTAATAAACGGGACAATGATTGATACACCCCTTTCGGGAAAATAAACGATAAGTATTCAACTACACGATAATAGCAAGTAAACAATTTTTATACGCCTTCATTTTCATGTGGACGTATTATGCCATCGCCCCTGTCCGTCCGGATGTCTGTCTGTCTGTCCCTCCGTCCGTCCACAATTTGTTTGTGGACACTCTACAGGTCACAATTCTTATCCGATTTTAACGAAACTTGAAATATAGGTGTATCTCCAAAAGATCTCGGCTGCTTTCGATATTGGCATGTATCGGATCGAAACTTCATGGATTATGGCCCCTGTTTGTACGAAAAATCACGTTTTTGGCTTGTGGACCCTATAGAGGTCACAATTTTTATACGCCCACATTTTCATGTGGACGTATTATGCCGTCGCCCCTGTCCGTCCGTGCACAATTGTTTGTGGACTCTCTACAGGTCACAATTCTTATCCGATTTCGACGAAACTTGAAATATAGGTGTATCCCCAAAAGATCTCGGCTGCTTTCGATATTGGCATGTATCGGATCGAAACTTCATGGATTATGGCCCCTGTTTGTACGAAAAATCATGTTTTTAGCTTGTGGACCCTATAGAGGTCACAATTTTGATCCGATTTTGTTGAAACTTGAAATGTAAGTTTATAACCCAAAGATCTCAGTTCCTTTCGATATTTGCGCATATCGGACAGTAACTTCCTGAATTATGGCCCCTGATTGTACGAAAAATCACAATTTTAGCTTGTGGACCCTATAGAAGTCATAATTTTTATCCGATTTAAAAAAACGTTCTATTATATCACGAATTTCCTGAATAATGGCCCCTGATTGTACGAAAAATCGAGTTTTTTGGCTTGTGGACCCTATAGAGGTCATAACTTTTATCCGATTTAAAAAAAACGTTTTAGAATATCACCGTTACACCCTAAGGACGGCTGAGTTCGAATTTCGTGAAAATCAACCTAAAATTGACAGACAAAATGGCCGCCGTTCGTTTTCAAATAGTGTAAAAAATATGGTATATCAAGGTTGTGGACCCTATAGAGGTCACAATTTTTATCCGATTTTGTTGAAACTTGAAATGTAAGTTTATAACCTAAAGATTTCGGTTCCTTTCGATATTTGCTCATATCGGACCATAACTTCCTGAACTATGGCCCCTGATTGTTCGAGAAATCGCATTTTTAGCTTGTGCACCCTATAGAAGTCATAATTTTTATCCAATTTAAAAAAACATATTATTATATCACCATTACACCCTAAGGACAGCAGAGGTCGAATTTCGTGACAATCGACTCGAAATTGACAGACAATAATGGCCGCCGTTCGTTCTCAAATAGCGTAAAAATATGGTATATCAAGGTTGTGGACCCTATAGAGGTCACAATTTTTATCCGATTTTGTTGAAACTTGAAATGTAAGTTTATAACCCAAAGATCTCGGTTCCTTTCGATATTCGCGCATATCGGACCGTAATTTCCTGAATTATGGCCCCTGATTGTACGAAAAATCACGTTTTTAGCTTGTGGACCCTATAGAGGTCATAATTTTTATCCGTATTATTATATCACCGTTACACCCTAAGGACGACTGAGTTTGAATTTCGTGAAAATCGGCCCAAAATTGACAGACAAAATGGCCGCCGTTCGTTCTGGAATAGCATAAGAATGTTATATCAAGGTTGTGGACCCTATAGAGGTCACAATTTTTATCCGATTTTGTTGAAACTTGAAATATAAGTTTATAACCCAAAGATCTTGGTTCCTTTCGATATCCGCACATATCGGACCGTAACTTCCTGAATTATGGCCCCTGATTGTACGAAAAATTGCGTTTTTAGCTTGTGGATCCTATAGAGGTCATAATTTTTATCCGATTTAAAAAAACGTATTATTATATCACCGTTACACACTGAGGACAGCTGAGTTCGAATTTCGTGAAAATCGGCCCAAAATTGACAGACAAATTGGCTGCCGTTCATTCAGTTCCTTTCGATATTTGCGCATATCGAATTGTAATTTCCTGTTAGCTTGTTCTCTATCCATCGTTATCAAATAACGTAAAAAATATGGTATATCAAGGTTGTGGATCCTATGGAGGTCACAATTTTTATCCGATTTTGTTGAAACTTGAAATGTAAGTTTATAACACAAAGATCTCGGTTCTTTTCGATATTAGCACATATTGAATTGTAATTTCCTGAATTATGGCCCTTGATTGTAGGAAAAATCACTTTCTTTTTAGCTTGTTCTCTATCCATCTCTCGAAAATGTGGGCGTATCCTGCCTGGCAGCCGCTGGTTCATATTTAATTCCCGTACGGTATTCAAATTTATGTCAGTAATATTCCTACAAAATTCGTAATACGATAGAATGAAAGTATGCCGACTACTGCCGATCTGTACCGTTTCAATAATGGCAATCAAAAAAACAAGTTTTGGTATGCGAATTACGTCATAAATTGGTCGGCTGCTTTATTTGTTTATCAATGACATAGAACTGTACTAGATACGATCTATGATGGCATTAACTGCCCGGCAAATGTTCGATTCAAATGCACATAAAATGTGCAACAAGCTAAAAAAAACATAAGCACATGCAAAGAGGCTGAAAAAATGTGAGAGGGTCTGATCTTATTAGTAGCCGGTGTGTTTGTGTTGTTTACTAATGGGCAAATAAATAAAATGGTTTCAGGGTAGATGCAAAATTTTCTATAGCCTTCTCGACGAGAATGTTTCTAAAGGATATTCCCCATCTTGTTGCTTGGGACTTGTGTTTAGATTGACAATGTTTAAGAACAAAGTTGTGCTTATGTTTTTTCTTGGAAGACCTAAGAACGTGATTGTGCTTACCATGAAGTCTACTTAAAATCTAAGCACAAGAATGTTCTTAAGAATTTTCTGGAAACACAAAATAAGGTAAGTTTATTTAAATGCAAAGTCTACTGAAAATCTAAGGACAAGAACTTGCTTAAGAATTTTCTAGGAATCGTGCCCTGGGTTCCAGTGTTACTTGCCATATCCTTTCAATTTGTTTTAAATATATTATAGACTTAGTTGTTGATGAAGCTAAAGACTTGAGAAATAAAACTGAAGTTAGTAATGCCATTAAGACTGCAGTGATGAGTAAACAGTATGGAAATGAAGATTTTTTAGCACCTTTAATAGCTAATGCATGTAGTAAGTAATTTTCAAATATCATTATTATTATTAGTATTATCCATTCAGTAGTTTCTTGAATAATACATGCATAAATATTTATTGTCGCCCGCCTTTCAAAGAAAGCAGGCAGGGGTTTCATTAAGAGTCGGCCGCCGGCAAATTTCCCCACCTACTTCGCTCATTGCGCCGGCTATATTTTGATTCCATCTGACAATTTGTTACATCATGAAAAGGTTGTAAAATGGAGTACTTCTTTAAGTATACATGTACTGGTAGTACAGCGTTTTCCTACGTAAAAAATATAGAACGGGTAGCCGGCGAGTTTACAAACTAACTCATCTGCACGCCCAACAATAAACAGCGTCACGGTTATCCGGTACTGTAGTCTGTAGGCCTAGTCACGTTAAAAAGTACAATGCGATAATCAAGAAACAAGCGGTATTCTGTATCTCCTTTCAAAAAGAGTTACCGGTGTAGTTTAATATCGTGCCTATCCTTTTTTCACCCGCTCTACTTGAAATCTTAACCATCAATTATAAAAAAAAAGTTACAAGGTTTATCTGTTTATACCTGACTATTTCACATACTTTCTTTCAAAAACTGTCATTATACCGACTAGTTTTCAAGCATTATATATCGGTAAACTGACATGGAATAAAATACGTAGCAACTAGCCGACCCTACACCCAACAATAATAATGTCTGAAAAACGACAGTTAACCCTCTCGTCCTATTTGAACAAGAAACATAAAAAAGGTGATATTATTGAGTGAATTTTCGGTGGTACATTAATCAAATCCCCCAACTGACAATTTTGGACACAACCGCATCCACCTGTAATGGTTATGTTTACCTGTAAAAAAAATGTACAGCTGTGTCAATTGCTTGACCTACTTTTGACCTTGATCAATGACACACGACTAGGGCCTTCTTTCACTTCCATTGTGACCACATCTCTTAATCAGTGGGACAGTTCAATGCCGACTAGTTTTTTATACGCCCACATGGAAATGTGGTCGTATATTGCCGTCGGTCCATCGTCCACAATTTCTTGTGAACACTCTACAGACTACATTTATCAACCGATTGTTTTGAAATTGATGTTGTTTGCATTAGTGGGATGAAGAAGCCTATTTAATTTCAATAACTTCTGTTAATTTCTTCTGAAGTTATGGCCTTTGTTTCACTTTATTGCACCTTGTGAACGCTCTAACGACAAAAGTTATCAACCGATCTGCATGAAATTTATATGCATCATTTAAATTAGTAAAACAAAGAAGCCTATTGAATTTCAGCAATTTCCGTTAATTACATCTAGAGTTATGGCCCTTGTTTCACTTTGTTGAATGTTGTGAACGCTCTAATGACAAAAGTTATCAACCGATCTGTATGAAATTGATATGCATCATTTAAATTAGTGAAATGAAGAAGCCTATTGAATTTCAGCAATTTCCGTTTATTTCTTTTGGAGTTATGGCCCTTGTTTCACTTTGTTGCACCTTGTGAACGCTCTACCGACAAAAGTTATCAACGAATCTGTATGAAATTTATATGCATCATTTAAATTAGTAAAACAAAGAAGCCTATTGAATTTCAGCAATTTCCGTTAATTACATCTAGAGTTATGACCCTTGTTTCGCTTTGTTGAATCTTGTGAACGCTCCAATGACAACAGTTATCATCCGATCTGTTTGAAATTGATATGCATCATTTAAATTACTGAAATGAAGAAGCCTATTGAATTTCAGCAATTTCCGTTAATTTCTTCCGGAGTTATGGCCCTTGTTTCACTTTGTTGTATCTTGTGAATGCTCTAACGACAAAAGTTATTATCCGATCTGTATGAAATTTATATGTATCATTTAAATTAGTAAAACGAACAAGCCTATTGAGTTTCAGTTATCACCTGAATTAGTGAAATGAAGACAAACAAGCCTATTGAATGTCAGCAATTTCCATCAATTACATCTAGAGTTATGGCTCTTGATTTACTTTGTTGAACTTTGTGAACTTTCGAACAACAAAAGTTATCATCCGATCTGTATGAAATTCATATGCATTATTGGAATTATTAAAAAGAAAAAAGCCTGTCGAATTTGAACAATTTCTGTAGATTGCTTCCAGAGTTACAGCCCTTGTTTTAGATTTTAGAACCTTGTGAACCTTCAAACAACGGAAATTATAATGTCATCTGTATGAAATTGTCTATTAAATTCCCCTAATTACCTGCAAAAGAATAAATATGTGACAACCCTTGTCGACTGCTCGGACGATTTAGCTGCTGTGGGCGTATGTTTTGTTGCCTGGCAACCTATCTTTTTTGTTTTTGTTGGGTTTTTTGTCTGTGGGGGGGGGGGGCAGGATTTTTGGGGTAATGCAATAGAAATATCATCAATTTAGGCCTATTGATCAACTAACTAAAAAAAAATAATAAAAAATAGGCCTGCTTTATTTGGATAGGGCCTATTTCTATAATCTGCAGGGATATAAATTCTAGGTTTCCGTTGCTCTGTAAAAATCAATAAGTAGGCCTACCTAATTAAAAAAAACAATCACATAGATTCTACTAACTGGTATCAAAATAATTGTATGCCTAAACAATTTATATTTTACATGATGTTCTCCCCAATAATTGTATTTTATTTCATTTATTTGGATGAGAAAATAACAATAATTTTTTTTTTAAATTTAAATTTTTTTATTTACATGTATATGTGGTTAGACCTATATATTGCCACCCCCAAGCATTTGTAAATGCGATCACTTGAAATTTATAAATTTTTATAGGCCTACAGTGTTTATTCCCAATGTTTCTACAGAATCACAATTCAACAACCATTATCCCACTTAGCTGCTGTGGGCGTATATTTCTGTGTCTGGTAATCTCTCCTTGTTTCAGAGGACAGAGCTGAAGAAACTGTACCTATTATTTCATCATCATCATCATCATCAGAATGTATGCCTTTGGCTTTAATTCCATCATCTGTACATCATGTACCAGTTATTCCATCAGAATCAAAATCATCTATGCCTATTAATCTGTTATCATCATCTATACATATGCCTATTAATCTGCCATCATCATCTATGCCTATTGATCCGTCACCATCATCTTTGCCTATTAATCTATCATCATCATCTATACATGTGCCTATTAATCCGTCACCATCATCTATGCCTATTAATCCATCATCATCTATGCCTATTAAATATTCGAGTCGATCGCTATTTATTATTAGACTCGAAAGTCCAGAACCAAAAATATCAATGACCCGAGTCACAGTGAAAATGTTACTATTTATATCTCGGTCGGGTGCAGATAAAATCTTCAATAATTTTTAGAATCGACTCTTTTATGCTGGTTTTATCAACAACCTGAGTCATAATAAAAATATTACTATTTATACATGTATCTCTCTCGGCCGCATGAAGATAAAATAATGAATAATTAATATTGAGAATCGGCTCTTTTACACTGGTTATTCGAGTCTCGTAGCTAGCTTTGCGTTACTTTCGTATATGATTAGCTCTAAATCACACCTAACATGACATGTAATTATATAAATTATTAGTAATAATATTTTAAAATTAGTTTACAAGAAAATGTTCAAGTTGACTATGGATGTAATTAGGGACAGACTTTTTATACAAAAATATCTCACTTTGTTGGACACTTCCGATGTGAATGTAAATAGAAGAGCCGTGAAAACATGTCGAATAAAATAACTTCTTACTTTTCCCAAATCTCGGACACGGATATCCCGGCTAGTGGGACTGTTCCAGAAAATTCAAAGACTGGTACTGTATGTCTCTCATGAAGACACTAATAAACGGGGGCCGTCGCCGTCACCAGTTCGAAAATTACAAACACGAACCGTAGAAAAGTGGATCAAAAATGACTTGGCAGCTTCTGAACCATTTACGACAACTCAAGATGTCTATTCTTTAGTTAAATTTGAATCTTAATCAGAGTTTTTAGGATTTAGTCCCCAGCCCCACCAAAGAGATTAATGATATTATTATATGAACTTTAGTTGTATTCCATATACATATAAAAACTTAAAACTCCAGGTTGTATGTGAGTCATCATTTTATTTTATTAATAAATGTATGTATAATAATATATATAAACATAGTAAATTTCAACAGATTTTTGGTTTTATATACTTTATAAAGTATTTGTCAGGCTGAAAATCTGAAATGTCCGGCCGAAAATCAGTTCAGCCTGACATGTCAGGCTGAAGGAACCTTAGCAGTTATTTCAAGGCTTGATGCCTGTTAATCTCACTGTAACCCCTGTATCGTCAAATAAGGGGTTTATAGCGCTAAAAACTATGCATATAGTTTAATTTCAAAACATCGTTTGATATTGATAAAAATCGTTTGGAAATTACAAAAATCGTTTAATTAGTATAGTTTAATTTAATGATACACCGTTTAATTTCTCCGAGAGGGGTTTAGAAATGGCCGAAGCGTTGACTTGTCTAATGCGTTTAATTATTAGACAAGCAGTCCAATTTCCCGAGATGCATTTAAAAATCAACACCTGTTAATTTATCTGCTATGTTTAACTATAAGATGAATCGTTTTTTTTCCCGCGAGCCGTTTATGAAGGGTGAATATAAAAAAAAAACACCCATAGATGCTCGCCTTACCGTGGTCATAGTATTATTATCCATTCAAAATAGTAATTCCGCCATTGACAAATACATCAAAAATCGGTAAATCACGTCCTAGGTAATTATACATTTGGAAAGCCGTAAATCGCATCCCATTCGTTCGTTCCTGGAGTTTTACGTCCAGTTCCACCTGAGGTGATATCGTAGACAAGTCAAACATCCCAGATAATATATCTTCTTTAAGTCACAAATGAAATAACTTCCACCTGTAGTAGGGTGAGCCACCATAAATAAATATCTCCAAATATCTCAAGAATTACGCCACAATATTTAAATCAGTTTCACACAATTATAGTCACTAAATAAACGATCATGTTGTACTTAATAAGCTATGACCAT